AACAAAAACATTTATGGAGCACTTATTTTGAGCAAACTGCTACAAAATCAGAGAGGATCATGACACACTTTATATCTTCCTCAGACTTCCAGTTCAGAAGGGAAGGCAAACCTGTAAACAAGTAACAAGTATTCATAATATGATGTAAAATACACACATGAATGAACAAAGGTTATGTGCTTAGAAGCATAAATAAATAGAGAAAAGCAAAATTTATTTGATTGAAACAGAGATGGGGGGACAGATCCTAGAAACTCTAGTCTCTCACTTTCCTTCCTCTTTTTCCTCTTAACTATTCTTCAGGGTGAATGTTGGACAGCACAGTTTGAAAACCCCATATTTGTGGATCACAGGTGACCATGAAAAAATTGTAAGCAAAGAAATGATTAGATTGTTAAGGGTGTGGACTGAAGAATGAAAAGAGTTGAGTAAGGAAAACCAATTAGGCGGTTATTAGAACTGTCTAAGAGAAGCCCGACCTTAAGCAAAGACAATGGGGAAAGGGAGAAGTGGATGGGTATGAAAGATATCTCTAAGGGTTGCATTAATGGAACCTAGTAGACTGATTATAAAAAAGGGTGGGGTAGGTTACTGGGTGAAGAAGAACAACTCAAGGATGATTCTGCCTTCTTACTTAATTCGAAATGGCCAACTCTGAGAAATCTCTAGTCTAATTTCTAATTGCTCATTTTCTTTGAAATTTCACTAACTCAGATAAAGCCAACATATGATCACTCATGCCCAGATTTAATTTCTTCATTCTTTCTTCATGTAAGACTTGACTTCTGGCAAAATCCTTTTTACTGTCATTGTTTTGTTGGCTACAACTAACTGTATTTGTGTCTCATTAGCAAGGCAGTGGGTAGCAATTTTCTTTTTTACTAAGATAGTCCCCAACTTACACAGAGGATGTGTTCCAAAAGTTCATTTTTTAGTTAATTATTTGGAACCCAGAGTGCATTTTCCCATAGAAGCAGCATTATACTTAGTGATCAGGTTCCCAGGCCAGTCCACAAAGGCCAGTTTCACCCATAATATAACTGAAAGTGTGGATATTTGCGATGGAAATTAGTTGGAAATAATACTGTTGCAATTAAAATGAAAACAATAGTTGAAAAAGGAATAGTCTGGGTTTTTGTTTCCCTCAAAGGGTAGTGCTTTATGAAAAGCAGGTTTAATCCTAGGAAGACAAAATGAAATAGATGAGGATTTTTGTGTAAATTGAACACCATGGCTTTTAAGTTTATTTTTTCAGTAATGTTTTAGAGTTTTTTTAAAACTAATAAAAGCAGTCATGTTCATTGCAGAAAATTTGGAAAACTGAAAAATACATTTTAAAAAATTAAGTCACCAATAATCCTACCATGGAAAGAAAATGACTGTTAACATGTTGGTGTGTTTCAACCTTTTTCTTAGTACATGTATTTTTTTTAATCGGTTGAACAGCAGTAGTTACATTGTATCCACATGATAAACAACAGTTGATGAAATGCAGTCTTTAAAATGATATTTATTAGCAATTTTTTGAACTGTGAAAAAAATATTTATGATATAATGTTGAGTATGCATAGATTGGGGATGAGGGAGTGTCAGATCAATACTCACCAACCAGGACTGGAGTCAGCTCTTAAGCAATCAACCAATACTCTCTATTATCAGCCCCAGCCTCCAACAAATCCACAGCCAGATTTTTTGTAGAAGTTCTGAATAGGACATGTGTGTTCTTTGAAGTGCAGTACAGGTTCATAACACTAGTTCTTTATTACTTCTCATTTTCCTTCAAATTCCAGTGTTTTCTTCTCCCTAGATGCTCTATATCACTAGCACTCCTAAGGCTTAACAACTATGATTAAGGTCATTTTTTAATTCGTAAATGGAATGGAAAGAGGAGCATACACTTCCTGAGGTAATTAGGTATGGATTGAACAGAGATGAGAAGAACTTGGGTAGCAAAGATGTGCATGTACTTGTAAGGAAGAAGATTATATGGAATAGAATGGATTCAGTTAAGAATGAGGAAAGAAAAGTGAGAAAAAAATAGTATGGTGTGCATATAGACCCAGAGAGAGTGGAAAACACCTTGAAAAGGGGAAAAAAGGTTTGTTTGTTTAGGACTAGGCTTGGCTTTAGAGCAGGAAAAAAAAGTAGGTAAAAAACAGTGATTTGGGTGGAGTTGTAACCAGCCGAAGTTAAGAGTTTTAGGAGGCAGTAAATGTACCATGCAGTAACTGATTTTCTTATAATAAGGGAACAAAAATGGTTTGTGAGAACAGGTGCTTCAAGCACTAAACATCTGCGATTAAAACACTTTGAACTTAATATATCTGTTAAAACTGTGCATCAATTGATTTTAGCCCATTCACTGTTTTCCTAAAAGCAGTTTGTGCATCCCAATCTCCTTTTAGTTAAGAGTTGTATTTTGGCACGAAAGCCCTAGGAACTGCCACCTGCATTTGCTCTTCATCAATTAAAGAATTGAAAATTACAAAGGAGTGAGGAGAGGTGGGGAAAAGTAAAGTGTTTGGAGTGGATTGTATTTACATATGGGTATCTTCATATACTAAGAACAACCCAAACATTCCTTGCACTCTGTTGAAACTAAGGACATTCTAAGTCTCACACACTGTTATGCAAGAGAGTCTCCTATGGAATGTTGTGACTCTTAAATTAGTGTGCTTATGATGCAGAGATTCTAATTTATCAAATCCTAGCTGAGCTGCAGGTTCTTGGCCAGTGATTCTCAATGTTGGCTGCAAATTGGAAACTCTGGAAAGCTTAAAAATACTGATGCCTTGGTTTCTCTTGCAGAGATTTTTTACATGATTGGTATTGGAATGAGAATTGGGCATGAGGACTTTTTTTTTTAAATCTCCCTAGGTGATTCTAATCATGCAGAAAACCTGAGAACCTCTAGTTCGATCCATTATTAAATATCAGGGTGGATTAAAACAGTTCTCAAAATTTGGTTCTGGAACCAGCAGCATCAAACAGGACGCTTGTTAGAGATGCAAATTCTTTGATCCTTCCTTTCCCATTTACTGAATCAAAAACTCAGGGTGGGGGTGGCCCAGGAGCCCATGTTTTAACAAGCCCTCCAGGTGATTCTTGTGGGTGCTAGAAGTTGATAGTCCCCAGATTACTTAAGTCCTTCCTAAGTCTTCCTAATGGACATCTACCTGCAGGGGTTGCTGGTAAGGAAAAGAGCTCTACTTACTGCTCTGGGAAATGACTTTGATAGAAATACCTGCAATAATAATATTAGGCTCCATGCAGGGGAAAGTTAAAAGGGGATGATAATTTTCTGCAAAGCCCAAGTAAGTTCAGGAGGTTGCATATCTTCTTAAAAGTGAGAGCTGGTCACATGAGCAAGCATATCCCTCCCTTGTGGCAGTACCTACAGGCAAACTCTTACTTATTCTTTAAGACCCTGCTCAAATTTCAATCTCCTCCATGAAGCTTCCTCTGAACTCTGACGTAAATTGTGTCATTTTTGTATTAGCACTATTTAGATTCCTGTATTAGTTCTTATCTCACTGTATTGTAGTGTTCTAAATGTCTCTCTGACTAAATTGTGTGATCTTTGAAGCAAGATGACTGTCTTATTCATCCTTGGATCGTTGATGTCAAGTACAATATCTGGTACCTACTAAGTGCTCTAGAATTATTTTCTCAGTGTAGGCATCAGGAAGTCAGCTTTGGGGACTATTTAGAATAAAAAAATAAATAAAACATGGACTGGGGGCTGGGGCTGTAGCTCAGTGGTAGAGCACTTGCCTAGCACGTGTGAGGCACTGGGTTCAATCCTCAGCACCACATATAAATAAATAAATAAAATTAAGGTATTTTAAAAAAAGAAAAACATGGGCTAGGATTGTAGCTCAGGGGTAGAGTGCTTTCTTAGCATGTGTGAGGCACTGGGTTCTACCCTCAGCACCACATAAAAATAAATACATAAAATAAAGGTATTGTGTCAATCCACAACTAAAAATGTTTTTAAAGAACAAAATAAAACAATAGCTGAATGAAGGTAGATGATTATTCTATTTTGCTCCAGTGTATCTTTCACGCCTGACACCTATTTGAAACAAAAATGTGTTTAATAGATGAATCCTTATTGCAAAAAACATGTCTTCAAAATATGGATTTATTTACCTGTGTGAATTAATCACAATCTTGGGTCCAACTCTCTTCCTTGAAGGCTGAGGGACCTTGATTCTGTCAGCATACCAAAAATTCATGTCTCTCAGTGGTGGCCTTACACATCAAAGATCTCAAAGACATAAGAATTATTAACAAATGTTTCATCATAGGATATATCATCATTAGGTACCAAGACTACCAATGCCAACTTTTCTCATATTTCCTTTCATTATAGGTAAAACTTCTTAAGAAATCTAATTAATATCAAAAGGGCTACAGCTGTCATAAGACAAAAATATTTTGAGTCCTTGTGTCCTACCACATTGCCTCCCATCCAGGCACAGCTATGGTCTAATTCTTTGTAATTTTGTAAGTTTATAATATATTTTTGTTATCCCCCATCTACTCACAAATATTCTTCATATAAGATAAGAAGGTAAAAATTATAATCACCTTTCTCTGCACCTTTTTCAGGTTATACTCAGTTCAGCATGATTGGATATATGTGTGCCCACAACTCTTTATAGTCACAGATTTACAGGCAGATCTTTGGTTTCTTTAGTGCTTCATCCCGTATTCATCGTATATAAATTTTTAGAGGCATAACTTTCAGAGGAAGCTTTGTAACTTTATTTCTAAGTTTTTGGGGAATATGATACCTCATTGTAACCTAAGTTACTACTAAGACTAATAATTTCTAGATGTTATAGAAACATTGAAATGTAAGTCACTGTTATTGTCTAAATGGAATTTTTAAGAACCAGAGTATAAACCAGAATGAAATTGATTTGTTCCTTCTGTTCCAACCCACGATCCTAATATGTATGTGCTGAATGGATTTTTCTATTTTTTTCCTATAGGCATTATATCTGATAGCCACTAATGGAACCCCAGAGCTCCAGAATCCTGAGAGACTGTCAGCTGTATTCCGTGACTTTTTAAATCGCTGTCTTGAGATGGATGTGGATAGGCGAGGATCTGCCAAGGAGCTTTTGCAGGTGAAAATAAAAGACAATAGCACAGAGGTCTTCCATCACAATGTGTGACAGTAAGAGAGCTCTTTCAAGAGATATGTAGTTAGAGTTAGGCTATTACCATTTGATTTTAGACCACAAGCACATAAGTATAGGCATGCATCTAATACATGATTGATTGACATGTTACCTTTCTTCTGAGAAGTTGGCAGTTTAATCTATAAATCTCTTTTATTCTTCCTGGAGTCTTATTTTGCAAGGGAAAAAAACAATGTGACCCTCTGGTGTTGCTGTTTTGTTCTAAACTTTACTTGTGCCCCTGGATGTTGTATGCAGGTGCTCTTGGCCGGAGGTAATTCTCTACATAACTATGCAATTATTTCCATGGCATTTGCTACTCTAATGCTTTACTGGTCAAAGCCCCTTTGCTTGTGATGCCAATTGGCAGGCACCTGCTTGCCTGGGTGAGTACCATCCAGTGGTGAGTGCCTCTGTAACCATTTGTCCTTTTCATGGCTCTCAGGGATACCTATATATGATGATAGTTAGTACCTATTATCTACCAAATTATGTACATACATTACCTCATTTAATTCTTTCTTACAAAAACTTTATAGCATGGTTATTATTATCCTGTTTTACAGACATGGAAACTGAGGCTCACAGAGCTCTCGAATGGCAGAGCTGATATTTGAGCCCTAGATTGTCTGAATCCCCCTACACATCACACACAAACAAATTTCAATTAAAAAGATGTATCTATTTGACAAAGAATCACATGGCCAGGATTACACACATAGCTTCACTGCTAGGGACTGTTTCTCAGAGACAGGTATCAAGACCTTTAACATCTAAGAACAATGGCCACTTATTCTGTCTGTGACTTTGAACCACACACCAATTAAACAAAAGGTGCAACACTTGCTTATGCACAACTTTCACCACAAAACCACTGTGTTCTGTCCTATCCTGCACAGAAAAATCTCTTCTTGTGAATTCTAAACTCCCTTCCAAGACAGAACCACACCTGGGAAAAAAAAAATTAAAAAAATAGCTCAAACAAATCATACCTTGGATCAAGCTATTTGGAGGAACTAAAGAGACCACACCTTCTCTTTTCTGCTCTCCATGACATTTCACAGGTTAACATAGGGCCCTGAAATGTCAAATCTGAAATGACACTTTGTTAATCTACTACTTAATCCAGCTTTGAATTACAGATGAAAAACCTGAACTTTTGAGTGCTTTGCTTCCATATGTTTTCATGCCTCCCACTACCCCACAAATACACCCGGATATAATTTCCTGTTACACCCTCTTCCAGGGATGACTAAAGATACAGGTTCTTTAAGTATAGCTATACAGCTAAGTAAATCATTAAATCAATTATCTAGTTAATTATTTACCCAACAGTACTTTTATATGAACCAGTCAGATAACTGATACAAAACTATATTTTAAGTGTGAATTGAATAGTTCATTTGTTGCATCTTTTCATTTTATACAAATAAACAAGAATCTTCATATCTCCTTAAGTCCATTCTCCAACGTTAGCCTATCATTGGGCTCCTTAGAGGTTACAAAAGAAATACTTAACAAAATGATGGAGACACAACTATTGGATTTAGCAGTTAGAAAGCCATTGGCTTCAGAAAAAAAATTCTTTAGTCATTAACTGAAGGCACACTTTCAAACATAAGGGCTATTCCAGAAAAATTCATCAGTTCAAGAAAGTCTGACAATTACAAACTCAGTGAGGTTTTACAAGATCCCTACTTTAGAGTTTTTAATGATGCTAATCAGTTTCCAGAGGATTTTCATGACACAGATGAAACATCTCAAGGACAAAAGCTGGCACCATGTTTTTTTTTTTTTTAATATTTTTTCTTTTTAGTGATGAACACAACTTTCTTATTTATTTTTATGTGGTGCTGAGGATCAAACCCAGTGCCTCACACGTGCAAGGCAAGCACTCTACCACTGAGCCACAACCCCAGCCCCTGGCACCATGTTTTTTAATTAAATGATGTTTAATTTGGTACTCAAATACATTTTAATGAGAAAAGGCTGCTTGAAAATGTAAAGTAATATACATGTTGAAGGAAAGAATTCCAGTAATTCTTCTTTTTTTCTCTTCCTTTTGCAGCACCCATTTTTAAAACTAGCCAAGCCTCTCTCCAGCCTGACTCCTCTGATTATCGCTGCAAAGGAAGCGATTAAGAACAGCAGCCGCTAGGACTGCATGCCTTACCCCTCACCATCTCCCTCATGAGTAAGACTGAAATAAAACTCTGCTGCAGGAAAGATGAAAGAAAAGACAGTCAAATAGGGTGGGGGTCTTTAACTTTCAAATGAATAGAAACTTCTTATAAGCCTTTTCCTACTCCCTCAGATTATGTAATTTATTTGTAAGCCTGAATCGCAGCCCAAACAGGGCAGCAATGTCGAAGTGGCCATCAAGTGGTCACTTCCACCGTGAAGCGAAAGAGCCAGTAGTGAATCCCCTCATTTTGTGCATTCACTTTGAAGAAAAAGATTTCTCAAAGATGCACATTCCCTCTTCATAGTGTTGTGTTTGTTTTTAAGTTAGAGAGTAGTACCTCTTACATTCAAACCTCCTTCAAAACCCCTTGCCCAATGTGATGTTTTTCACTTGCATTGTCATTAGATGTCCAGAAAAAAAAGATGTCAAGATGTTTTTTTTTTTAAAAAGAAAGCAAAAAAAGCAAAGCAAAAAAAAAAAAAAAAAAAAAACCAACAAAACAAAACAACAACAACAACAACAAAACAACAAACAAAAAAAAATGGAGCAAGTATTGTGTGAACATGTGGAATTCCATGCCCTAATAGAGTTGCAATTTTTTATTCTTCTTCTATAGTGGTGGCTTGGTTTGTGTACCTATTTTTCTGCATTTGTATTGGAAAAGGTTTCTTTTAAGACATTTTCCAAAAGCAGAGAGGAGTATGTGTTTTCAGGAAGGGCTTTAAATTACTGTATACCTAAATAAGGCTGAAATGGTGAAATCCTGTCATTTTCACAACAATGCTTAAGAGGTGGTCAATTTGTCACACAAACCAGCTGGTTCGTTTTCATATCAGAAAAAGGGCACACTAAAACTGTGACGTTCCTATTGGGTGAGTCTAGGTCCTAAAACCTAGAAAATCCTGATAGAAGAAACCTTACATAAACAAAGTTGAAACTTTCTCTGACAGCCAAAAAGAAAACAAGATATGTGTATAATACTGAAATCCTTGTTGGACATTAAGTAAACAAAGGTAAAGATACCTATTTTATCCTCTCTTGTGCTTTGTGGAACATTTACACTGTAAAATAGGCACTTCAGGAGGGAATAGATTCATGCAACATTTATTTATGATAAAATGATTTATTTTGGCAATTTATAACACTTTAGAAAAAAATTCAAAAGATTTGGAGAACAGAGATATAGTAAGCTTTCAACTCTATATGAAAGCTACATCCCAATCAACATTTGGCTCTGAGCACCTGTTCCCATTTTTCCTGTGTGTTACCAATTTTCTGTTTCAGGATTATGGTGTATATATAGTTCTCAGAGCTTTGAATTTCAAAAGTATGTTCATAAAAATCTTTCAATTCCCCAGTGAAAGTAATTTTGCTTCCTAATTAGATATTCCAAGAAATAATAGTCCAACTGAATTCCTTCTGTGGCTTGGGGAAAATACCAAAAATTGACAGTAATTTCACCATAAATTTATTGATTAAAAATTCAACACTTAGTACTTCCTGAATCTTCTGAAAGTAGAAAAAAATGTCTGGAAGGTATCTGCATAGAAAAGGATATGCTTCTCTTTTGAGAGTATTAGCAGTTTTATAAATTCTGGAAAGTTTTTTCTCTAAGCCTTTGAAAAGCTAACAATCTGTTGTAGGAGGCTTCATAATTTGTAAGTATACAAGGAATCTGAATAGAACCTATCATCTACATTCACCCACAGGGGGAAAGAGATTAATGACCATAGGCCTCTGTCCTTCTCTGTGAGGTACACCTTTCCATCTAACATCTATGATCCATTCCTTAAAAAGAAAGCACTTTCTTTAGAGTTTCTGCTAACCATATAGTGTACATGTTTATGTTTAGAAGATGACACCACTGATGGATTTCCTATTTTCCTACTGTTGTTTTCTTTGACTATAAAATTTGGGAGGAGCTTGACCCTCTTGCTCCCCTGCAAAAACAAGGTCCACAGTGGGATAAAACAACAAATGTGGAAAAAAAAGCTCAAATGGTAATATTAATTTGAAGCATATTATGTTATACTTTGCAAAGAGGTGTTTGGGCCTAAAGTTTTTAATGCCACACTGTTCTAGTATAAGAGAGAGGCCTTATTTTTGATTTCTTTATAAATTAAGCTTTTTGTTCACTCATAGTGCCAGGTAATTCAATGAAGTACCTGGGGTGCAAATAGAATTCATTACCCTGATGACTACACCCTGCCAGTAGAAAGAGCTGAAAACCTGGTTGGGAAGCCCTAGTCATCAGTTAGCATCCCTTATATGTTGCAAAGGCCCTTTTTTGTTATTTTGGAGACCCTGGAGCAGTGATCCTTCAGATCACTGTAGGCAGAGAAATGGCTGCTCTTTATACTTTCAGTTTAACATATTAACAATGAGGAGTCAAGTACTTTTTTACCATCACTTTGTACCAAGACTTGATGATATTATATCCCAGTAGGCATTACTCTTACAAATTTAAATCTATGTAAATTTCAGTGAGAAAAGCTTCTAAAACCCTTTCCTTGTGTTGGGGAGTTATGTGTATTTCTTATAAGTATTAGAGAGAAGCTGTTTCTTGTGCCAAAATGCTACCGAAGGATTCACATTTGGTACACTCGAACAACTTGGACTCCAGATGGTTGATAGTTTATTCCCTTTCCCTGAATTTTTTTTCACTCATCTTGACATAGGTGAGTCTATCCAGATCTTTAATATTGCTAGTATGCCCTGAGATAGTGAGGGCACATTATCGAATGTTGATTCCAAAATGTCCTGATAGAGGAATAGGGCAGTGGGAAAGTCAGGGAAGGGTGAGAAGCACAGTAGAGATTATTTATTTAAGAAAGAAAAGAACATTAATGTTGTAGCAAGGATCCGGTGCGTTGTCATAATCCCATGAGGATTTTGGGATGATACCATCCTCTCAAATCAGTCACCATGTTGGGTAATGACTTCGTTCTTGCTGATCTCGTCTATGTGTCATTGTAAATATTTGTGCGTCCATGTTCCATTTTGGCTACTGGATGGCCAAGTCATGTGAAGATTTAACTCAAGTATTTATTGTTTAATTGTGTTATTCAGATTTCTTTCCAGCTTGTGAATTGCACCCAGTTTTTTAGTTTAAACATCTGATCCTCACATCTATCCCTCCCCTGTGAAGCACATTCCATTGCTAAAAGAAAAAGAAATACGAAATTGCTTCCTGTTGTCCGTAAACTGTTTTGATAGTTTGAGATGTTTGTCTATAAAGGATATTTCTCAGCTCAAAGATCGTGTAAATACTTATATTCCTTTGCTGAATGGGTTGTTTATTTCTAATGAGGCTGCCAGTTCTCAGAGAGATTCTATAAAATCACTTTTACATAAAAAACAGGGATTACAACTATGTTAAAATAAGTGTGCATATGGACAAAGACTGGGAGGGAACACAGATAATTGAAATCAGTTGTGTTAGGGTGGTGGGATTATGTGAATTTTTTTTTCTTTTTGCAATTTTCTTTGATGTTGTTACTTTTTAATGAATAAACATCAGAAAGGGAACTATAGAAACATAGAAAAGATGCCAGAAGCAAAGGCCTTCTGGCCAGAGCCCAGAGCATGCAGGGCACAGGTATTTGCTAGTTACAATATTCCATAGGCTTTATACTTGCCTGGGTGCTGAGGTTGGCACACGCTCAGGTATGGCATGTGCTTTCTTAGGAGACTATTATCTACGTCCTAACTAGGGAGAGGCCACTACAAGAACTCCAAATACATTGTTCTGCTTTAAAACAGGCTGCCCTCTGCTTTGGTATGACATCCAGGTGTCTACTTTGGTTACTTTAAGTCAGAGGGATGACCATTTGATTATCCACTTGATAAATGTTTCCAGTAACAACTTTCTGGATCATCTTAACAGATTTTCAGGTTGAATTTTGGAGGATTAAAAGGATAAAATCCCAAACTCTCACCATTTCTTTGTCCAACAAGATCTTATCATCCAAGTAGACTTCTTCTTTTAGTAACCAATAGGCAAGTCTCAATGATTTCAATAGAAGTTATGACTTGCAATTAAAAGCTGACTCTGAAATTATTAACACAAATATTTAGGATTATCTCTACCTTTTGGCATTCAGTTACATTCATTCCTGTTAGTTTTGGCTTGTAGTGGTTTCCGTGTGCTTCTGTATGGATTAATTAAAGGTTGTATGCAGTAATTGTGGTTTTTAAGAGAAAGGGAGACCATCTACCAAAAGAGAAATTTCCTTCCAACTCATTAAAAAAATTTAGGTGAGGACTTTAATAAGGAAGTAGTGGCCTCAAATATGTTACTCACTTTCATCAGAAACAGACCCTATACCTTGAAAATTCACAGGCTTTTCATTAGCCATTCTCAGTGTAAAAGTACTCATGGAGGTGTTTACCTTGTCATCCCCACTTGAATCTCATGGTCCTTTTCTGAGCTACTTGCAGTTAATATTTAGTTAAACAAAGGCATGGCCAGTGGTGCAAGCATCTCCCAGTCTCTGAGCAAGAGGATGGAAATTCAGTATTTGTAAACTGACAGTCTAATAGGCCTGGGAATTTGAGTGACCTTAATACATGACTCTGAACATATATTTGCATGTGGATTGGGAAGGAAATAAATGGGACTTTGGAAATAATGGAAATATTTTTCTTATGAAAGTTTTTCATTAAAAAATTTATTTCTACTATAATTATTCTGTTGGTTAGCTTTTAGTTTTCACTCCTTTTTCTGATTCACACTCCTTTAGTGACCAAATGAATATAACCCAACTTCTCATACATTGGGAATGTCTGTTTAATATTAAATAGTATGTAATTGAATCTGCAAATGCGGGAACTGAGATGCCATCTCCATGTGCACACCTCTGCATATAAGTACTTGTAGCATTTACTGTCACTTAATTTGATTGAACTTGAAAGATAAATTTGTAGAATCTGGTTAGTGCCATCAATCTCCTTTGGAAGCTGCCATCAGGTGAATGCTATCCTATAATACCAATAGTAAGGCAGGAACTATGTTCACCTGACTTAGTACCCAAGAGGAAATTGACAGCAATTCTAGAGAATGAGTCAGATACAGTGGAAAGAATTCCAGCCTAGGAAGAAGGAGACCTGAATACTAATGGACTTTATTACTAACTTGCATTGTGACCCTAGGCATAACCTTTCCATGACTGTTTTCTCATGTCAAATAAGGGTGTTTGTGTAGCTGCTCTCCAGAGTCTTTCCAAAAGCTCTAACATCCTGTGGTATAATAGGTTGCCTTTCACATTCAATCTTACAATGTGATGGCAAATACCACATGCCTAAGCCTGAATCTCTTATATTTCAATTAAAAAATAGAACCATGTAAGATGGAAAAACTCAGTAGTACTAGAGAATGTTGATAAAACTTGTGGCAGACTTCCAGTTCATTCACAATGGTTTTGTTTTTGTTTTAATGTCCTTTTTCTGGTGAGTATTCCAGTTTTCATTTTCCATATACTCTGTATGTAAAGTCTGGTATTCATTAAGTTGTGGCCAGTATTTGCTACTAGAACAGAAATACACTGTCACATTTGCTAGAATAGAACTGTTTTGGGCCTCTCCTTTCCTATGAAGCAGTGCTGGGCCTTATAGAGTTAAATTCTAAAGTGGCACAAGATAGCAGACCCTGTGCAAATTAATGCCTGAGACTACAAAGAGGGGACCTAAGCACTTGCAAGATTCAGAGAGAGAAATGAAGAAGTAATTGCATACTTTTAGCATTGTTGACAAATTTACTTGTTGGAAACCAAAGATAGTGTTTCTGATGACAACTCTCACAGGGATTGGCCAGTTGTATGAGTATGCTGTGGAAAGGGTAAACCAGAAGTTAGTTAGAGGATGGTCCCACTTGCCTGCCTATAGCAGAGTGCCAACCAGTCCTGAGTGTGAAATTCAAGTTCAATGTGTGTACTTTGTGTGGTGTGCTTTATGGACCCGCATATACTATATTCATTAATGATGATAAGATGTTTCACAGAATCCAATAACCATTAGTGGGTTGAGTTTAAAATCTCAATACATCAGCCAGTAGGAGCCAGATCACAAGGATACTGATGTCTACTGAGATTATACTCATAACTTCCAGATAAAATAAGTTGAGGAGGATCTACATTTTTCACTGTTTATCGAATTGTATCTCATTTGGTTGTGCATTACTTTTGTCAAAATGTGTTATCTGTAAACCCATGTGTAGTGAAATTCTTCTGTAACTTTGGATTAAAGGTCTTTTGGATTATGGTCTTTTGTTTGTTTGATTTTTAAGTAAGTTATTTCTTTTGTAGACATGCTGATGGTATGGTTACATCCTTATGACCTCAGCATCTGATCTTTTAACGATTTTTTTGTTTCCAATATTGTTACTTTACATTGTGGTTGAAGCAATAGAAAATTGAAATATGGATTGTGCATGACTGTGTCTTGAGTGTAAAAATATTGCAGTTTGAAACTTGGACCTAAAGTATTGCAAATAAAAATGACAAACATCAATGTGCTGATGTTTCTCTCTTCTGTCACCTTCCCACCTGTTCTCCTGGCTTTGGCCATTTTACCTATTGTACAGGTTGGAGGGGTAGACTGTCTCAGATGTTTGGAGGTGACAAAATGCCCAGCTATATAGCAATACAGAAAATGCTCTGTAGATTCTGTCACTGAATAACTAACTGAGTGTCCATCTGGCTATGACATAGAAAAGCTCAAAGAAGCTAATGTGTACGCTCAATGCAGGGCAAAACGCTGGTAGATTCCAAAGACAGATGAAGGAAAAACACCAAGAGACATCATGCAATAAATCATTTGATTTTTATCATCTTTGTGTTTGAAAAATTGTGAACATACAAAGCAATGTTGCACCATGTTTATAGTTTTTGCCTTATATTTGGTGTCAAATTCTGCAGGTCACAGAATAGATTACAAACCTACATTACTAAGAACCTTCATCCAACTTGTTCCTTAAAAAGCACTTACTGATCCCAGCACTGGGACTAAGGTAAGAGAATCTCAAGTTCAAAAGCTAGCCTCAGCAATTTAGCAAGGCCCTAAGAAACTTGGTGAGAGTCTGTTTCAAAATAAAATATAAAAAGGGTATTACTGATACCCCTCCCCCAAAGAGCACTTATTGCACTCCTATTGTCTGTCAGGTAACTGTGGACATTTCTGCTAACGTTAATATTTCCAGTAAAAATCATCTCTAAGGTGACTAATTGATAGTAAAGCTCATTGAAAGCCACTAGATGCACCCATTGAGTCACATTTATCCGGAGATTCTCTTGAGCCCTCAAGACAAAAACACCAGATTCAGAAAACCGGAGTTTTATTGCACCAGTATTGCTTGCACAGTGGGCATAGTGGTCCTTCTGAAGCATGTGTACATAATCATATACATATTATATGATTATATCATATCATATCAGTACATACTGATACTATATTCTCCACACATGGATTACCTATCTTACCAAATGTTAATTCATTGTTTTCTAGTTCACTGTACAAGGTTTATTTTTCATTGCATCTCTCCACATTGAAAGTCAAAGAGATCTTTTCTGTAAATAGAAGTGGATAAGTGAATTAGGATCTCAAGAATGAGCTTTTGGTCAAGTTCTC